GCCGTGGATGATAGCCTCGTCGATCGGATGGTCATCGAGAGGTTGCTCAAGATCTCCTCCTGTAAAGGTGAACAACAACTGTGTATTCTAATCAATTCATTTTGTTTCACTGAGTTCTTGAAGCTGATTGGATCTTGGGGGTTTTGTTTCCGCAGTGACGGCTGTGGAGAGTGGGAGAAGTGCTCTGCAGTATCTGGGTCTTGAAGGCCAAACCAATTCTGTCCACTTCAATGTAAGTAAGCCACCTAAATTTGATATTCCCTTCCATTTTGGGTCCATCTGCCCCTCAGATTTTATGTCTCTGTTGTGTAAATTTCTGGCTCTGCCTCTGATTTTAGCAGCTCTGCTCTGTTGTTTAACCATTGAAACTTGGGGGTTTGTGGCGTTTGGTTGCAGGGTTTGGAGGTGAATCTCATCATCACTGACTACTCCATGCCCGAAATGACAGGTTATGAACTTCTCAAGAGGATCAAGGTTGGTTTCCATGTTTTCGTGTTCTTCAATTTCTTTTGAAGAAAACCCACTTCCTTGAAGCCCTCGTGTTTGTTTAAATGGCTGAATGAGATTTGTTATGAGCAGGAATCATCAGCTTTTAGAGAGATTCCTGTTGTCATAATGTCATCAGAGAACATCTTGACTAGAATCGACAGGTATAGATTCCCACTTTTTTTAAATTTTTTTCTGGTTCTTGGATTCGTTGTTCTTTCAACTTCAATGGGGTTTCTTCTTTATGACAGTTGCTTGAAGGAAGGGGCTGAAGAATTCTTAGTGAAGCCTGTGAAACTCTCTGATGTGAAACGATTGAAAGACTTCATCATGAAAGGAGAAAATGGAGAGAAGAGAATTGGTCTCAAGAGGAAGCTTGATCTTGATCATGATCATGATCATGACCAACACCCCTTATCGGCTCCGGCGCCGGAGGCTTTCGATTGCCAAGGATTTCTGCAACCATCGCCGCCGTTGTCTCGGGCATCGCCGATCAGATGTTCATCGAAGAAACCCAGATTACTCACTGGCGACCAATCCATATAATGGAAAAAAGAGTGGTTAATTATTATTATTATTAAAATTTTTTTTTTTTGGATATGAGTGTTGATTCGTGTTGTTTGGGAACTGACATCCCATTTGATATTTCTGTTTTTGGTTCATTGTGAAAGTAAATTGAAGTTTGAATGAACATAGACAAATTTTGGAGCAGCATATTCAACAGTTTTTTAAATTTGAATTTTAAATAAGTATTCACATTGTTTTTGGGCTAAGTTTTGATTTTCTTCTTGAACTATATGTATGATGATTTTTTATTTATTTTTATTTTTTGTGTTTTTTGAGGAGGTATGTCTTAAATCTTCGTTTTGTAAATTTTTATATTAAAAAAAATGAAACTATAAAAGGTTATACAAAAATTAATAATGTGAAATGGTTAATAATTGTTGTAAGTTATAACTATGGTTAGGTCGTTTATAATGATTATTCAATCAGATCTTGATAATTCAATAATAATATTTTAATCAATGCACCTTATGAAATGTAATTGATGAAGGTTGAGTGTCATCAATTTGTTGTTTATATCTAATTGATTAAATCCATACAAGCAGTGTAAACAAACAAGATATTTAATATTCATATTTATCAAACAGACCCCTAATCCGAATCAATTTTAAGGGTTAACACGAGTATTTCACATATCCCCACCCATCTCCTTCGAATTGAATTTTTTTTTCTCAAGTATATTTCATTTTTAAAGATTCACTAAAACAACTCAAAACTAATTTAACACCTCAATTTTATTAAGAAGCAAATCAAGGTATTTATACAAGAGGTGAATAAGCTACAACTCAGCTTACTAAGAATAATTACAGAGAAAATACACAGGAACTACATAATGACCAATATACCCAATAATTTTTGGGTTGTAATTTTATTTTCAATTTAGTATTTGAACTAAAAATGAAATACACTCATATTTATATATAAATAAAAAAAAATTGTTGTGACAATTTTGGAAATGTAGGGAGTGAAATTTCTCTCTTAATTATTACCTTAATAAATGAACTAATGAATAACGTTTGAGAACTACCAAGTAAAAGACTACAATAATTATTATTTTTTAAAATAACGTGTTTCTTTAGTTACCTCTTTTTTAAAATATTTTTAAAATCCAAGCTCTGAAAACTAAAAAGTAAACTTATTTATAGTTTTTAAAAAAGAAAGCTAAGAGCAAAATATATTTTTCAAAAGGAGTTTAAGAGACCAGAGTAATTATTTTATTAAAATATTAAAAAAAATTTCCAGAAATTAGAATTAGAAAAAGAAAAGAAATGTTGAAGGTAAGCAAGATTTAAAACTATGAAATGGAAAGTTCCTAGGTGGTTTAATTGATCCCTTTTGTCTGTTTGAAATAGGTAAACATTTTCAAAATCGTATAAAAATTTGAAAAACTGATCAAAACAAATTCTCTTTTTAATATTTTAAATTTATTCTACAACATAAATTTATTTTATTATCAAACCAGTCTAACCAGCCCACCTTAGTTTCCGAGAAATTCCCAAACAAAAAACCAAAACTACTTTTTGGGAATGGACAAACAACAACGAGAGAACAGCAACAGGCATCCAATAACTTATCATATAGGCCGAAGACTTGAGAGTCTTCGTCAAGCTCAAGCAGAGACCATTACCGGATTCGGAGCTCAGGAAGATGGTTGGCGCGAGGCTGGAAGATGCTACTGGTTTCAAAGAAGAGCTCGTCAGAAACGCCTTGGCTTCCGCCATTAAAGCTCACAGGCAACCAGACAAGCCATTTCTTGTCGAGAAAACTCGCGACTTCTCTGTCATCAGTTTCGCCGGATCTTGGTCGGCGGATGGCTGGTTTTCCGGTTCCAGTACGTCTTTCGGTGAAACGGAGATCAGCAGGCGGCTCTTTCCGTCCATCAGGAGCATCGGCGTCGGCGATTTTGCCATCGTCAATTCTGCGTTCTTTCAGAGATTTGAAGGCATCCTGGGGAAGCTGAAGGAGGTACGTCGCCCTAATTGTCCCCCAATTCTTCGAATTTCACCCCAACAACCACTGAAATAAATGTTATTTTGTTGATACCCGACTAGAGAGGAGATTTCTACCTACTCGTTAATCTTAATTAATTTGTTAACCAGAGTAAAAAAAATAAAAGGTTTTTTGACTATGAAATGAAAGTAGAATAACATTATAAATATGTTAGCAATTCTTATTTTCACAAAAATAGGGGATTATATGATTATTTAAACCCGGTAATTAAGATATTGGCTTTCTTTTTTTTTAAGTTTCCGTTAAATTACTATAATCTAGATAGATACTAATTTTTTTTTGTATAACTGCTTTTTTAAAGAACTGTTGGTAATGGAATTTTTATTTCTCAGGTAGTGAAAGTGAATAAGGCGGTAGTGTTTTCGGGCCACTCAGCCGGAGGTCCGATAGCCATTCTTGCAACCATCTGGCTGTTAGAACAGCAAAGAAACTCAAACTCAAACCCCAACTTCACTCCTCCAAAATGTATCACATTTGGGTCTCCCCTTGTTGGTAACTTCATTTTCTCCCATGCTCTCAAAAGGGAGAAATGGTCCACCCATTTTGTACACTTCATCACGAGGTACGACATCGTCCCACGCATCCATCTTGCTCCTCTACCTTCGCTGCAATCACAACTGCAGACCATCCTTGACTCCTTGAGCTCGAGATCGCCCGGGCCCGCCTTGATCGGGAATGTGGCTACCACCTTCTTCATGACGGTGATGAGGAACGCATCGGCTGTGGCAAGCAACGTGGCTTGCCATCTCATGGGAAGCACAAACCTTCTACTGGACACATTGAAAAACTTCGTCAAATTGAGCCCTTACCGGCCTTTTGGAACCTACGTTTTCTTTACTGAGGGTGGGAAAGCAGTTGTGGTGACCAACCCAGATGCTGTTTTACAAATACTGTTCTACTCTTGTCAGTTGAGCTCCGTGGGGGAATGTGGTCGGATCTCTCATCAGAGTTTAATGGACCATTGGGGCTATGAATCTAAAATACAACGAAACTGGGAGCTCCTACACTCTATTCGTCTGGATGAATTGGTTAAGCTTCCGTTATCTTTGGCTGGCAGGAACACGCCATTAACGGAAGCCTTGAATGAACTTGGCCTAGTAAGTTCTTCTCTTCTTGCTTTCTTTTTCGTCTCCAGTCTCTAACAATCATGTATTTCCATGTGTATCTTCTTCAAAAGTTCGTCTTTTCCTCAGAATAGTTTGAAGTGTTTTATATGACATGGAAAAGAGTTGGTACCTCGATAACTAAGATGCTGTTGCTTTCTACCTAATTTTGTGAATGTGAAATTACAGAGTACGAGAGCATTAATGAACCTTCGAGCTGCTGGTGCGTGTGAAGAGCAGAAGATGAAAAATCAAGAAAGGATGGAAGAGAAGAAACAATATACCGAGGAGCGATTGTCTCGGCTAGAAGAAGAATACAGAGCTGTATGTAAGGTTGATGGTTTGGGATATTATGATGCCTTTAAACTCCAAAAGGATGCAAGAGACTTCCACGCTAATATCTGGAGGCTTGAGCTAGCTGGTGTGTGGGATGAGATCATAGAAATGCTCAAAAGATATGAGCTCCCAGATGAACTCGAGGGCAAAGACGAATGGATACAACTTGCAACCCGCTTTCGCCGTCTTGTTGAGCCTCTAGATATTGCTAATTACTATAGACACTCGAAGAATGATGACACTGGACCTTATCTGATAAAAGGAAGGCCGAAACGTTACAGATTTACACAAAGATGGCTTGAACACAAGCAAAAGATGATAGAATCCAGTGAAGAATCAAGTCTTTGGGCAGAGGTTGAGGAGCTTCGTATCCAAACTAAAACCAGAACATTTGCTGAAAATGAGAAGGAAATTACAGAGTTGGAGAAGAAAATAAAGCGATGGATCAACGAGATCAAAGATGATATGTTGTTGAAGAAATCTACCTTTATGGAGTGGTGGAAGACACTTCCTGAGCACCATAGATCACAGTCTTGTATTAAGGACGATGTCGAGAGGATGGAGAACGGAGTGGACGCTATTGACACAGTGTAGTCTAACATTATAAGGTGTTGTACACGTAAAAGACTGTGATGTTCCAACAGGTTCCCTTCTGTTTGAATGAATTAAGAACTGGAAACTTGGTTCGAACGTGTCCTAATGAGGACATGTTTTCTTTAAATAAAAATGTTCTGGAACTTTTCTTTCACTTCCAAATTTCTCCTAATGGCGGCGCTTTTAACAAAATAGTCAACAAGAACTAACCTTGGAATCTCCGACAGAAACAGCCGACCACCTATAATGCTGAGGAAGAGGGTCCTCCGCTGGTCCGTCTTCTAGAAGATATCGGGATGTTTAGAAAACAATGTAAGCTCCAACTTAAATTTCAAAAACACAGCATAAACAAATATAGAGAAGAAACAAGGAGTTCAAATGATGTCAAAACATTCACATCAGAGCGACCATTTTATAATAATAGAGCTCAAGATATAATTTTCAGAGGACACAAAATTTGGTTTCAATGAACTGCACAAGGATACATCACACACCCAACGAAACTCAGATTCTAATGAAAACGTTAATAAGCTGATACTTTCTTCTTGACAACCGCATTCTGTTCGTTCGCAGGAATTGTAATAGTCTAGTTTACCTAAAAAATAACCCATCAATAATCAATGTTTTCAAAATAACTTGTGCATCAGCCAGGACAATATCAACAGTAAATGAATACCTACAGTATGTATAGAAGGAGTTAATACCTCCATTCCATGGGTAGCTGATTAACCAATCTATCCTTCAAAATTTCATAAGTGTGACAGTTAAATGAGCCAAAAATACATGATCAAAATGAAATATAAAAATGTTTAGGCTGGTGACCTCGATCTCGTTCAATAGAATTAGAAAATCTCACAACTGAAGTTATTCAGCAATCATATCATTATTCACTCCATGATCAAAATGATGATAGAACTTCATTAAAAGGCAGATTCACCAATGCCCTGATGAATACATGACTTACAAGCTTACACAGTGTGAAATTCGTCCTCGTGAAGATCAAGCAATTACAGAAACTACGAGAAACCATCTTCCAGCAATTAATCATCCTGCCACTGCCAATAAACTACAGACGTGGGAAATATGCTATGCCCATTTATTACAGTCAATAAAAACCAGAAGCTGGAGGGCTATAACCAAAAAGTTACAGTAAAGGGTTCCAATAAAGGGTTCATATCCGTCTAAACTCTTAATCAAGAAAAGTTAAGCTTTACCTTTGACTGACCTCAACTATTCAACTGCTGCTGGTGGCTATGAACAGCAAAAGTATACAATAATTAGTAGTGAAACATGCGAGTTTTTAAAAATATTTCCACATTTCATTTTGGCGTATATTCTCCTGGGACTTGAGTGTCTTTCTTGAGTCCTTGACATGCTATAAACCCCATGCAAATAGTCAATCATGACACTAAAATCTCATAAAATCAGCAGGACTAAGGAGGAAAGCGACAAATAGAAAACTTCAGCATTCCTACGAAGTATACAAATACAAATTAATAAAAAGTGGAAAAAATAAATGTTTATCATTATTCCATGTATTCATTTCTATACCACCTCGTCTATTCACATACCAAGTACGAAATAAGTCCTCTACATTGGCAAATGTACGATAAGATAAGAACCACACTCATGTACGATGCAGATCAGTTTAAAGGTTCTCAATCTCATAACCATGCTTCAATGCCCAAATGCCACACATCTATTTCTATGAAACTCAGAGCCCAAGACTACCATAATACCCAAGAGACACAAAAAGAAGTGAGACCAGACGTACATTAACTCGCAGAAACTGAACTCTACCTAAGACCTTGAAATCATGCTACAAGAACGAGCTAATGGTAACGTCGGGCTGCCACCATGTACATTTGTCTCACTGTCGGCAGGATCACACTCATATGGCTTCCTGCACCCAGGACAGCGCCCATCCTCTTCAAGAATCCTCTTGTGACAGAAAAGGCACAGCCGGAATCCACAGAAACAAGGTAAAAAACTTGAGTCTGTAAGGTCCAAGTCTTCAAAGCAAATTGGACAAGATGTAGGCACAGACATAACACCACCACAGGCCCAAGGGATGCCTCCACATCCATAACGCCGGTCTGTATTTGGTAAACTAAGCTGCTTCGATAAAGTGGGCAAACTCTGAGGACGAAAGGCATCATCAGGCCTCCATGCTCGGCAACTCATTGGAGCCCTCTGCGCAATTCTCCCACATTCTAATTTCGAGTCACCATCTCCAACACCCAACTCATTTCTGCTATCTCCGCAAGAATCCAATTGAGAAACAGCATCACCCCTAGGGGAAGACTCGGAACATTGATCATGTTGCTTGTCAGTGGCGGCTAGAGCATCAGCAATAGCCTCCCAGTCATCCAAGCCATCATCATCTCCTTCCTCCTCCGTTATACTCCCTGAGCGACAACCGCTAGAGCTGCTACGGCAGCTACTGCTACTGCTACTCCCAGTAAAATGAGGACCGGAATCATTACCACCCAAGATACTACTGGCAAGACTAGGGGGGCTGTTAGACGGCGACTCCGAAAAATCGCTGTCGTGGTGAACCGATCCACCATTGTCTCCTCCTATTTCCCTCATATTTATTTTCTTGGAGGAAAGATTATCGTCTTTGCTCGTTTTAATGACCACTGAATCAAGGCGATTGTCTTCTTCGTTCCATTTTTTGTTCTTTACAGCACCTATCACTCGCGAACCCAAATCGATTTAAAACTAATTCTCACATGCACATATCCCGTTCCATAAAATAAATTCAATTAACAACAATATGAAATATAATTAGTAATTATACCTCGAGAAAGCCATTGTTCCCGACGAACATCAAGCTTGGACTGCTTCAATTTGGAATTCTTGACCTGAACCCCCACCGAAACAATTACGGCATATTAGAACAACANAGCAATCAATAATCAAACGAAAACAAAAACAAAATCATCGGCATTTAAAATAAAAGAAAAATTGAGAAGATTTACGTCTGAATAGAAAGAGAGAGAGAGTCCTCACCCTCTTCTTCTTGGGCAAGGGTAAATCCCGGGCGCTTGGGGCCAAGGAAATTGAAGCATTGGTGATCGAATCAGTTACCATGATTGAAGACTTGGAAATCGAATTGGAGGAACGAAGGTCGCAAAGAAACCCTAATTTGTGTGGATATTTTTCCGGGAGAGAGAAGATCTTCGAGGGGGAGAGAGAGAGAGAATGGATAACGGAAACTCCTCTGCTTCGCTCGCTCTTTTCCACAGACTAGCAAAAACAGAGGGCCGAGATTTTATTTAAATATCGTCCAAGTTACCAAAATACCCCTCACTTTTGCTAAATCTACGGGGTTACCCAGCCACGGCCCACGGGCATTGGTAATTTGGTATCGTATCGTGCATTCCTGTATTGCCCGAAGAGAAGAACGAAACGATGTCGTATGGAGACCCATATGATTGGGCCTTTTACCGTAAATGGGCCGTAGTTAGGCCTAACAACCTCGGTCCTTATAATCGGTGGTAATTCTGCCATTGCCCGAACATCATTTAAAATTAAATATTACATTTAGTTCTGTGTTTTTTTTTATAATTATTCTTGTTGAGTAAAAAGAAAAAATACCTCTATTTTTGTCAGTACTTTTTAACGGCTTCAATATTATAAATTATCTTAAATATAAAAAATTTAATTCAGTAATTTGGGAATTGGGTTCTCTTTTCCCAAACCTAAATTTAGGTTTCCAAGTTGCTTGCAGAAAATAGTACATAATATTAGGGGAAATCTCCACCACCGTGGTCTTTTTTTCATTTTCCATTTTTCAATATAAATGAAGTGTTGCAATTTTTTCAAGTAGCCTATATTTGTCAACCTAAGTGAATTATTATTATTTCTATATGATAGGGTTGGGGTGAAAACAAATTTGGGTTGGGCTTGACCAATATTTTGTTTAGTCCCACACGAAAAGGATAGGATGGTAATTCTCTAATATATATTTTTGGGAGAAAGGTTACGGCCGACCTTTTTTTTTTTTCTCAATTCAATTGCAAAGTCAAATATTGAACCATCACGAATTGGTAAACTAGGCTCGAATTGGTATTATGGCTAGTTAGCTATGAATATATGCTGTGAATTTGAGAATTCAACTTATAACCTCTTAAGAAAATATGGATATCTTTATTATTAAACCATGTTCGAGTGGACAATTTTGATATTTTTTACTCATTTGATTATGTTTTAGGTTAGAATATTGTTAGAGTTGGATTTGGGTATTTAATGAGTTGATTTAAAGTATTTTGTTGATTGAATTTTGTGTGATTTACGGCGTTGTGAAGAATTTTTTTATAGGTTAATTTTGATGAGGTATTCGCTTCTTCATTATTTAGGCGGAAGATTTCAATTAAAAAGTTTAAGAAATAAGTATAAGAGTAACTTTTAAAAAAAGTTATAATTGTAAAAAATATCTTGGTCCCATAAAAAATTCACCAAATGCTATATTTTAATTATGAACATTATTATACAATAAGCAAATGCATCATTTAAAGTTTGAATAACCTTGTATTAGTTTTAAATTTTATCTTTTCAAGGTAAACTCTTATTCCATTATGCTTTTGAAATTGGACCATGACATGGCATTTTAAGTATTGTGTGGTAATACTTCTTTAGATGATCTTTTTTTTTTCAATGAGCTACAATAACCTTGCAATAATAATACAAATGACATATATTTCTTGAAATGTTAGTTTATCTAAAGTACTCATTCTTTTTTTTTTTTTACGATAAATCAACTTCTGTAGGATGACATTCATACAAATTTGTTATGTTATAAATAAACTTTTTAATTTTTTTAAATTTTTGTGGGCATTACCAAGGTCGAATTTTACATATATATGAACAAAATGATTGAGAAACAAAAAATTGCATCTTATAAAACAATTCTTAATCAAAGATTATTGACGAGAATCTTTTCCAAATTAAGGGGTAGTGTAATAAAAATAAGAAAAGGAATTAATAATCAAAATAAAATTAGGATCATAAAGAAAATTAATTTCCCGAAAAACGAAAAAGATAATGAGATATTTATCTAATATTCCTTGATAAAAAATGTCAACTATAAATGTGTTTTTTTTATGGAAAACTATAATACTGTTTTAATCTTAATTCTTAACCATAACAATTCATAATATAATATAAAAAAAAACCCATAAATTTGGATTATTAGTAATGCGTGCAAAAGAATCTCTTCACCGAATAAAGACAAGAGAAAATTAAAAATATTACATATTATATTTTTATTTAATTTTTAACTTTTATACGTCATTTCCAAAGAATTTGTTATTATTATTATTATTTCATTGATGTTGTTTACTTGAATATATCTGGAATCGGAATAGACTGATTACCAAAATACTCTTATATATTTATAACTAATATAAAATTACATTAATTAAAAAATATGTTATGAGATTTTTTATATTGAAAAAAAATAATTACTTATAATAATTTTTAGATCTACTTATATTATTTTACTTAATAGTAATAAATTATATATTTTGTATTTAAGTCTACATTTTTTTACACTTTATTTGATATTATTATTACATTATTTATTATAATAAACTTTCTTTTACCAATTCAATCTAAAATTAAATAATTTTATAATACAAACACGCAAATGAAACGAGGAAAAGCAGCCGTTGAAAAAATAATCGTGAAAGCAAAAAATAGTAAGCCTACATGAGAGAGAAAAAGGCATTGGTTGTCAAATTAAGGAATCAGAATGAGATTACAGATTTCAAAATTTGGAGTGCGTCCCACGTTTTATTATCATTCATATTTATTTTGGTAAACATAATCAAACGGAATGAAAATTTTCATTAAGATTTCGATTGTGAGCAAGTAAACACGGGACCTTAATGTTTAACTTTTATACGTCATTTCCAAAGAATTTGTTATTATTATTTTTCCCCTATTTTAGATTCGTTATATTTTTCTACTTCGTGTGTGTGTATATATAAACGAGAAAAAGAAGAATTATATATATATAAAAGAGAAAAAGAAGAATGAAAAAGGAGGTGGAAGACAATTTAGATGGGTGTTACCAGTTTTACATCTCTTTAATTTTTGTTAATATATTCACAATTTTTTAAAATTTTAGCAATTCAAAGTGAAATAAAATTTTACACAAAATTATGTTGGATGAGAATGAGATATAAAATCAACTATAAAATAACTCTAACAAAATTTTAAAACCTTAATCCACGAAAAATAAAGAAAAACCAATTTTAATGGCAGAATTCTATCAACTTCGTACTAAATATATATTTTATAATTTATTGAAGACTTTGTAGTGAAAAATAGGTATCTTTAACTGATTGAGTTATAATCAAGTTGCACATTTGTCTAGTTTGAAATATAATATGATTAAAGTTAGAAATAAGTATTTAACTAATTGAGTTGGCATAGTTTGGAATATATTATGATGGAATTCAAAATTTAGAATAAAAATGGACACAGCTTGTTCAAGAATAAATTGTTTTTTTTTTCTTTCTAATTTTAAAATTTTTGTTTGTCGTCAGTTCGATAAATAAATATATCTAATATTTTCTTTAAAAAAAAAAGGTATTTTCATGGACAACGGTACATCGTACACCTGAAAGCTGAAACGTGGAGCCCTCCACGTGGCGTGATGGACCTAAAAGTTCACTGAACTTGATTCATTCAGATAAAGAATTCTAGAAAATCCCATGGTACTGATAACACCATGTTATTTGTTTTCAAAAATAGAAAAAATAAATAAATAACACCGCGTTATTCCAATTAATATATCTTCAGAATATAAGTTATAATTTATTTGAAATATTATTTTACTTTATAGATGTCAAATTCTGTATTTTTAATCTTAGTATTTTTTTATATAGTACCAAAATTTTAATATTTTAAAAAATATCATATATATGTCAACTGGTAAATCACATTGAAAATAAAGTAAACTAACGGATAACAAAAATTAAAAAGAAATGAGCTAACCACCAATCACTCCTCTATGTTTGAACTCAACAAACGATAAAAGGAATAAAACAATGAATATTTAATTATCAAAAAATAATTCTTATAAAAACTAAATAGCCAATAAAAGTGTAGTTGATTAGTCATAAAAATGATAATTATCCTATCCAACCGACATAAAAATATTTCACAATTGGATTGAGTTAATTTATTGTATTTTTAAGTTAAATTAAAAACATTTGTAATTAAGTCCAAAAGAGTTAATAATTCAATTGATCAGTGGTTAGACAAAATCTTCTAACAAACTCCTCTAAATAGACAAGTTATTTGAGGGGAGACATGGTGATTATTTTTGTTGGATAAAAGATTATATAAGGTGATTATTTTTGTTGGATAAAAAATTATCTTAGGTTAGATTAGAAATGCTTGAACATTTCACAGTGAAAAATATTTTAGAAAATATTAAACTCAAAATAGATGGCTCTTTCAACAGAGGTTATTGGGAGCGGAACGATTTAAACTCAAAATGAGTCTTTCAAATCAAATGATCTTTGTTGAAAAATAATCATCATTAAAACAATCCAACAAGGTTTGCCCCAAACTGATTTTCCAAAGCAGACCTTGTAATTTATAATGGTTCGTCCCAAGCTTTGGCTATATCCAATCTTCTGCAATAGTAAGTTCTACTATGATGTAAAGATTGCATTAAAAGTCTCTCTTTCTCTCGTTGTATATAAATCTCATCATAAATTAATACGATTGATAATTATCATCATCCAACTAACATAAAAATATTTCATAGTTGGATTGAGTTAGTTTATCGTCACCCAAATTCATTTTGGGTTAAACATATTTGTAACTCACAATTGAGTTTGACCCAAAATGATTAGGATAACTAAATTCATCGCAAAGTCATCTAATGGACTTCTAAGTAGACAAGTTGTTTAAACAGAGACACAATGATTACTTTTGTTGGATAAAATATTATTTAGGGTGCGAGTAGAAATGCTTGAACGTTTCATAGTACAGTAGCGTTTTAGAAAATATTAAAAAACAAAACAGCAACAAATAGATGTCTCTTTTTTTTTTCTTCTCTCATAAAGTCCATTAGGAGCGGAATGATTCAAACTTTCTCAAAAGGGAGTCTTTCAAACCAAATGATCTCGTTGGAAAATAATCCTCGTTAATAAACCAATTCAATCCTAACCTAAATAATTTTCCAAACATTATCACAAATAAATAATAACAAAAAAAAA